AAGCGGGGCCCGGCGGCGGCGGAGGCACCAGCGGCAGCAGCCCGGAGCAGCTGCTCTTAGCCGGCAGGGAGAACCGCAGGAGTCCTTCTACAGCGCCCGGGTCTGGGGGGCCACTCAGCGGCGGCGGAGGAGGCTCCGCGGGCGAAGGAGAAGGAGGCTCCAAAGCCCTTGCTCTCAATGGGGGAGCCAAGAAAGGAGGCGACTCTGGAGCACTGGAAGGCGCCTTGAAATCCCGGCAGCGGCGGCGGAGGAGGCTCCGCGGGCGAAGGAGAAGGAGGCTCCAAAGCCCTTGCTCTCAATGGGGGAGCCAAGAAAGGAGGCGACTCTGGAGCACTGGAAGGCGCCTTGAAATCCCGGGCTCGGACTCTGATAGCTCCCAAGCCAGCTCCAACACCAGTAACCAGCCCATGCTGTGGCCGGCCTGGGTTTACTGTACTAGGTACTCGGACAGGCCTTCCTCAGGTAAGACTTACCTCGGGACGTAGCCTAGCGCTGGCCAGGGAGGTTTAACCCAAAGATCCCGGCCTTCCCTTCCCCTAACCCCTTTGGCTCCACTTGCCATAGCACAGGCGGCTTTCCTCCCAGCCCCTCTCCTCCCTCTCTCCCTATCAACCAACCATTGAATCAGTGAAGCCTAGGCTGATCTTTCCACATGGCTCTTCAGAAAATATTTGGTTGGTGGAAGAAGGACCAGAAAAAAATACACTAACCTAGATTTAAAAAACAACCCGTAGAGAGACAAGTTTTTTTAAAAAAAATCGTATTTAAATGTAATGAGGAGAGGGGGATATTGTTATTACAGGCAGATGAAAATGAAAGCGGACAAACTAATTCCTACTGTCTATACACACACACACACACACACACACACACACACACACACACACACACAAAGCGATCAGCGGTTATCTTAGCTAGATCTCAAAACAGAGAGGGACGGTGCTAGTGTGAGGATTTGGGTTTGGGCATGGTTTTAAAAAGAAAAGGTGGAAAAGAAGCCATTAAAGCCCCTTCTTTGAACTCCACGGAGATCCTTCAAGGAATCTGCCCATCTTCTCCTTTGGCTTGTTTGGAGGGTGAGGAGTGGAATTCATATATTCAGCTGCCTAGCCAATAGGCCTGGCATTGTACATTTTCAAACCCCAATATTTTGTTTATTCTTTTAAAGCGGGCCTTTAACTCGCCGCTGTCGCCTTGCTCTATTGTACATTTTCATACATGTAATTGAGTTCAGATCTTTAATAAGGGAATAGGACAATTTCCAGAGGATGAGAAAGTTAATTTCAGAGAATCCTGGGAAGGCGTGCCTGCTGGAATGAGATTTCAGAAGCAACTCCCGAAATTATCTCTGAAGAGATTTAAAACCCACCGGTGAATTTCCTAGGGGGACGCGTTAATCTACGTACACAAGAATTAGAAACCTCTTTAGAGATACTGTTTTCCGGGCTGTAAATCAGATATTAAAAATATTCACAAAAAAGTATTTCCCAACAGCGATTAGCCAATCTTGTCCCCCATCCCCACCCCGAACTGTTGTATAGTTGAGGAAAAGAATGTAGGATGGATTTTAAAAAATACTTTGTAATAAATGAGAGACAACTCTTTAGCTCCACAATTCCATATGAATAGAAATTTACTCCATTGTTCTCCACTCCTCTCCTTTGTTAATATTTAATTAACATATATCCTCACAATGGCACAGGCTAGAGAGAGAACCCTCGCTTGTGGTGTGCAGAATAATATTAAAGAGAATAAATAAATAAAATAGTAATAATTAGAATAATTGTTTACTCGACATGTGAGCAATGCAAAACTCCAACCTACTCCGATATACAATGTAAACAAACGTTTGGATTTCTATATTATATCGATATAATGTAAGAAAGAGGGATTCTTAACCATTCTGTGCAGGAGATAAAAAATAGATAGCTGTCAATGCCTCTCGAGGTACACGTTTTACCTTTCAGTAGTGAAGCCATGTCTGGGTTTAAAATAATGTAACACATTTGTATTTTTAAAAATCCCAAAGAAATTGTATCCATTACAAGACACTATTTTTTTCTGCAGATGTGTTTTGGTTAATTCCAGACAGTGAGACAGGCTATTTGGTACACTTACGAAACGGGCGAAAATTACACCATAGCCCTGGACACTTCTAAGTTTCCTAGATAATTATCCAGACAAGAGAAAGGGGTGAACTCGAGAGTCCTGAGCAAACTGGAGATCCGGGTTGTTCTTTTTACTGTAATTGTTTCTTTTTATTTCGAGCACAACGTGAGGAGCGATTTGAAACAAAGCGAAAGGGACAAAGAAAAAACTGTTTTCTAAAAGCTGAAGATTGTGTCGGACCAACGCCTTTAGAGCTAGGCTAGTTGGTTCGGATTATGGGAACGTGGCACTAAACTAAACAAGAAACAGCAAACCTGCCCCACAGGCGTAGAGGCAGAAATATGCAATTTCAAAAGAAAGTCACAATACGCCAGAAACCTAGGACGTAGCCGCGACAAACAGGGCTTAATTTTCCTTTTTAATACGTTGTGTTTAATAATTAGGGCTTTTAAATAGATGTATATAAAATATAATGGGAGGCTGCGGCGGGGGAATTGTAACCAGGAAGATGGTTGACACTTTCCCCAAGCGTTGTGGTCATTATTATGTGGCCTGTTTGCTCTGTATAATATAACTGAAGCTGGGAACTAATCAAGCCCGTTTTCTCTTGCGCAGAGTAGAGGCACTTCCTGCCTGGCTTTGTCAGTCATATTTCAGCCTGTGGCAGGATCCGTCTTCTGCCCTTTGATTGACTTGTCACTAGCTAGAAGACTTTCCCCCCATGATCGCTTTAAACCCGCGGGTTTAGGTGCTGTTTACAGTCTGCTCACTTGCGGTGGCTGCTCACGTGTGCCTGTGCTTTTAGGGATCAGACACCGCACGGAGCTGCCATCATTGGGGTAGAACCATGTGTGACATTTCCAGAACTGTGGAGGGGGGATTAGGAAGCTCGCGTGGGCCGAGCACAGAGCCCCAGCGCCTGCCTGCCGAGTGTAACACAAAATCAAGAGGGGCCAGGGAGAGCAGGAGAACCAGGGATCTCGCTGGCTGAAACTGGGGTTGTTTTTTCCACCGGCCACAACATTCGCTCGCATACACAGCGGTCCAGAGATCAGAGGCCCTCCACAGGCGCATCTCCCAAGGAAGGGCTTCCAGAAAGGGAACTGGCAAATACACACAAGGCAGCCTTGCCCTGCGGCTGCCCACAACCTGCACCTCAGGGATGGCTCCTTTTTTGTGGGGTGCCCAAGCGGCTGGCCCGGGCAGAGAGAGGAGAGCCCCAAAGGAAACAATGAACTTGGGTGGACGCGGCGCGTGCAGTGGCCCAGCTGTGGAAAGTGGCGCTGGAAGAGGCGTCTAGGCCTGTGTCCTCCTCCCTACTGGCCCCAGGCCCCTGGGCAAGAGGGTTTTGGGGGTCCCAGGCAGCGGCTCCCATTTGACCACCAGATTGCGGGTCCCGAATGCCTCTTTCTCACGCACGCACCGAGACTCGGGTCTGTCCCTCTGCCCCCGCCCCTCCCCAGGCAGTCAGAGAGGGGGGAGGGGAGCGCTCGCTCTCCTCGCCGGGGCTGATCTAGTGACTTTAGTTTGAAACTCTCAGGCCAGAGCAGAGCGAAAGGAGGCCAACGGGGCCTTAGTGTCCCTCGGTGTCCGGCTCCCCCGGCTGGGCTCAGGGCGCCAAGTGAGGCACACACGTACCAGTGACCTCAAGCACGCAAATGTCAGATGCCGGGGGAGATCATTTCTCCCGCCCCTCCCCCAGTCATCAAAAGATGTTGCCCTTTAAAACCAACCCACCTACCCCAAACTCCTGGACACCCTTCCCAGCCCCCCGACCCCATCACTTCGGCGGTGAGCGCTGGGCTCGCTCTGAGTGTGTGTGTGTGTGTGTGTGTGTGTCTTATTATTTTTTTTATTTCGCTCTGGACCTCAGGCCCCCGATCTCGCAAACCAAAGAAGAAGAACCCCAACAAAGAAGACAAGCGTCCCAGGACAGCCTTCACGGCGGAGCAGCTGCAGAGACTGAAAGCGGAGTTTCAGACTAACAGATACTTGACGGAGCAAAGGAGGCAGAGCCTGGCTCAGGAACTCAGCCTCAACGAGTCTCAGATCAAAATCTGGTTTCAGAACAAACGAGCCAAAATCAAGAAAGCCACTGGCAACAAGAACACCCTGGCGGTGCATCTAATGGCACAAGGACTGTACAACCACTCCACCACATCAAAAGACGGCAAGTCAGACAGTGAATAGAAAGGGGGCCGGGGGACGGCTGGGGAAGGGGGCAAGTTTCAGTCAAAGTTTATACAATGCAATAATTTAATTAAAAATAAGGGCCAGTGTATAAAGATTAAACCAGCATTAATAGTGAAAATATTGTGTATTAGATATAATTCTGCAATATTCTATGTATATATAATTTACAGGTAAGGTGTAAAAATCCAAAATATCTGATTATAAAATATTTTTGAGTTTCTTTTTATTTTGGTTCTATGGAGATTTTAGATGGTATCTTTATGAGTTTTTTTAAAGCTTAAGTTACCTTTTTATAGACTTAAGCGCTGTTTTAATGGACATTGGACAATGTTTTTTGAAATTCAAAAAAATTAAAAACAATTTTTGCTGAAGTCCAAAGATTTTTATTGCTGCATTTCACACGACTGTGAACCGAATAAATAGTTCTCCCATTTGTTCGATGAGTTTTTACCATTTCTTTTTTGTGTTTGGCTTTGGGGATAGAAAACGATTCAATTTTTTAAAAAGGTTAACAGGGAAAGAAACCCCAAAGCTTTGTATTAACAAAAAAAAGTCCAAGAGCCTTTCTTTAATTTGCCCTCGCTTCTTCATTGGGTTGGGCTCAATCAAAGACTGGAGGGTTTACAGTGACTCTGAAAAAGCTGGCCAGCAAGGGATAGAGGAGATCAAGAAGGAGTTCATTTGGCGCTTCGTTGTTTGTTTATTTTCCTTTCCTCGTAGCTTGGTTGGGAAACTTTTGAAGTAAACATCACAACTTCCGGGAGTCTGTCATAGGAAGTGAACAAACAAAACACCCTTTTCCATATGAAGGAGCCTTTTCTTTTGAGTCTTTTGCCGTATGTGTGCGCGTGCAGCCAGAGAGTGCAAACAGACACACATCCCAGTTCCCGTTAGTTCGGCGCATTTTGGTAGCTTAGACGCTGCTTCTCTTTACCCCCGGAAGGCGTTGTCCTCTAGCTGGCGATCAAGAAAGTAGCCTGGGATGACTTTTGCGAAAAGCTCTGGTTTGTCTCGGACAAATCTGCACCAGGCCGCAGGGCAGAGCTGCTGGCGTTTGAAGTTAGGGGGTTCGGAGCGCCGGCTGCCCAGAGACAGACCAAAGTTGCAGACTGTCGTGGGAAGAACAGGTTCTCGTCAACAGCTGACTGAGAACTGGTGGGCTTCCTGTCGTATACATTAGAATACGTCTCTTTAAACTCTCCTACTTGTACTACTGCTGAGTATACAGGGTACTGAAAGCAAAAAATGAGTAGCATGGCGATCGGGTGAAGAACTTATCAAACTTATTGGATGAAAAACTGGTAAACCCATCAACTCTGGATCTGAACTGGAAAAAAAACAGACTGAACAAAGACTATATACAAAATGCATCCATAAAGCCTCTTCCTGTCTCATGGCCTCCATACGGGCAGTGTTGGGCCAGGAAAAGAACAAATCAGGAGGGATAGAGGACTAGGGGGAAAGGAGAAGTGGGGGCATTTATTTCAGCACCATCAACCCCTATTATATAAGTAATTCATAAGCAGGGAGAGGGATCTCAAATGTCCTGTTTTGGTTAGAAAGACAGAGGAGCCCGTCACAAGCTGTGGTATTGTATTTAAAAAAGTAGCCTAATATTACCCAATGAGGCGGTGAAGAATATTTGTCAGTCTAGAATATAGGACAGGCTTTAAATCAGACGTATCTATTCAACTGAATAGTAAATATGAAGGGACAGTCAGTGTAAATAAAACATTTCTTGGCATTTGGGTTTTGGTTTATTTCCCCCCTTGCAATTTAGGTTTCCGATTTGAAAACATGGTACCGTGTAAACTAAGTATTTTCAAGGTTTGTAGGGTACTTTCAATAGTTCTCCCCGTTCTAGATCCCCTCGGTTTGGAATAAAGTGTCCAAAATGTTGGCCAGGACCAGAAGGCACCCCCAGTGGGTGCGTATTGTACAATAATTCAGGACTGTAGTCTCCTTGATGATTGAGGGTGAATTTATCGCTTTGCCTTAAAACCTTCTTTATTTCACAGCTATAATAGACAAACATTGTACATATTAGCATAAACTTTAAAAAAGAAGCAAACTATAAGATAAAAGCTGTAATTTTAAATTCTGTGAATAATCATCAGCTGCTTAGGAGACTGGATTAAATGACATTGCCTTTTAGCAAGAAAGCAAAGATTTTTTTTCAGTTTATAAAACGTGCATTTTACAATTGCAGTATCAAATATTTATAATCTTATGAAATATGAATGTTTCTATTTACAACTGTGGTCTCAAAATTGTGAACATTCTCACTGCATTTTGTGTGTTTAAATTCTTGAACATTGCATTAAATAAAACACTTTATTATGAAAAACACAACGTGTGACTTAAAACGTTGAAATGGTGTTTTATATAGTATAAATAGTATATCCTTATAGTGTATTTCTTAGTAATAAGACAATTGCACTGGAGCTCAGTTTTAGAGTACTAAGTGGAGTAAAACATTTCTATGAATGTGAATAGCCATTTCTATGAATGTGAATAGCTAGACGCACAATTTTGCAAGGAGATGTTTAATCAATTTCCTGGGTAATTAAGAAACTTTTGATGATTCACATATGAATAAAATGAGAGCAACCAACTTCGGTTAAACGATTACAACCTTAGAGTGATAAGAATGTATTAAGCCTATATTGTTTGAAGGTTTCATCTTTTCAGACTTCGAGATAAATATTCACTTTTGTGATGTTTGGAAAACAACTGTAGTAAATTATGTTTCCAGACTAAAATGATACTTTAAAGCACAACAAACTCGTAAAACAATAACTCGTAATGACAATAACTTCAGTATCTTAATTTTTAAAGTGGGATTTGCCCACGAAAGGTCATGATGCTATATATATATTTGTTAGTCTCTAAGGTGCCACAGGACTACTCGTTGTTTTTAAAGTTACAGACTAACACGGCTCTCTGAGACTTTTAATTTTTTAAAACATGGCACTGTAAACCTTGAAAGTTGTAATAAAGGTGACAGGATTGTAGGACAGCTGAATAACCCGGGTAAACAAAGTGGTCATTTGCTGTATGCACAATTTCTCCAAATATTTAAGCATATATTTTTTCTTAAATAGGGCTAATTAAGGAAAGAACGGTTTAATGTCCGGAATTGTGTTATCAGAACTTGTTCCTGATGTAAGGACTTTAATACAAACTTTTTTTTTAGAAATATTTTCCCACAGGCAAATATCTCCGCTGATTTAGAGAAGAAATAATTCCAGTATTCCAGAAGACTTGTTAATTCTTTTAACCACCTACAGTCAGTAAAGGTTTCAAATGTGTACGGACAACCCATGAATTGTAACAGACAGAGAGGCTGAAAAGCTTTCAGTTAGGAAACAGGATTCTGGATTTACATTTTGCAAAACTTCTTGCACGTGGCTTTGAAAGGGTTTCATCGAACTAAGCATTGAGGCAGATGAATTACGGTCTTGGGAGAGAAAAGTGTTGGCTGGCATTAAGAATTGCTACTATCGTGCAGTTTAGATCTGCACTGAAAATAGCTGCATTTGTCCATAACAAAAGCGTAATGTGTCTGTTATATGTACTCTAGAAAGGGCCAGTTACACCAGGGCATTACTGACGAAGTCAATGGGGCTGCATTCGAGGAGGATTTGACTCATCTTTCAACTGTGTGAAGGGACACATTTACACCTGTCTTACACCAGCTTGTATATAAGGCGAGAAATTTTGCCATCAGTGATCTCTTTAAACGACACATTCACGAAACTGTTAGCCACAGAAGATGTATTTAGGTGTGGGGAGGGAGTTGGAAGTGATGGGAGGGGGGGGAAGTTTAGAAACTTGGCTAACTTTTCAGGGCCTATTTTAAGAGAGCTAGTGTATTCTACACCGTAAGAAATCAACAAGCTCAGGAGTAGAACATGTTTTGATGCTGTCTGGACTTTATCCAGTCCATAAATGCAGATTATCTGCAGTAGGCAATAACCGTTCTCTTTAAGAGAGGACAGAGAACATATTTTTTTTACTGCACCCCCTCCCATTTGTCTAAAAGCTTTCATGAAAAAATACATTGGCGACGATGTCGGGTTTACTCCGCCTTTTACATATTTTTCACTTCTTGGTTGTTTCAGTCCACTTCCAGATGAGCACGTAAAAACGAAAGCAAGCGGCTCCCTGCTGTTTTTGTGCTTACAGCACAGATACGTTAGTATTGGTTATTTTAAAATTTAAAAATAATCTGACAGAAATAGATACCACCTCAAGCCTTTACTGCAATCATAACAGCCAACAAACACACAGGCCATCTATGTAGCAACCTCCCCTTTGGGGGAAAAAACCCTCAAAGATTCTGAGAGTAACTACACATTTTATAATGTATGCGAGTGTACAGGCCATGTATTCTTATATATAAAATGTGAAGGGAACATTCACAGTAGTCCTGTCCGCTGAAAGCAACACACACACTGAGTTGTAATGTATATTGTGTATATTTTGCATATACGTGTATATATGCACACGCACTAGTGCAAAGGACTACAATTTTGACTTCAGTGTACTTTTGCACTCCAAGTTTAAATGGATTTCTTCTTATCTTAACCACGTTAGATATACTACTCACTAGAAGGTACGAATAATTTGTTTTTAACAGTGATA